TTTAATTGAATGCAATCCAATCGAAAGGCATTAAAAGGATTTTAAATGAATGATTCATATATATATGAGACGTAAACAGATTAATTAAACATTTCAAATGTTATCATGTTTTTACACTAACATTTTTAAAATGTCTAGAAATAAATAATTATAATGCATTTACCATATTCATTCAGGCTTTAAATCATAATTTGTTATGACATATGCAACGAAAACATGTATTGAAATATCCGAATTGGTTTACGTCATAAATATAATCATGACGCAAGGATCAATGTATTCATGAGCGTGAAATAAACGTAGTTAAATGTATGCAAAATACTTGTATTCTCAGCTTAAGTTTGATGGCATCTATGAATTTCATTAATCTCAATTGATATTGTTTGTGAAACTTTATAAATATACATTAATTTGCGGTATGCAAGGACAAGGAAATGAAACTACGGTAGTCTGCAAATAATTGTAATTGCATTTATTGTTCTAAATACCAATGAGCTTTTCACATCAATTTTTTTTATATAAAATTAAAAAATATATATTTGGTCATATTTATAAATCGATATTTTATAAACGTAGCAACGAATATGTCTGATTTGATTTGTTTTTGTCAATTAGTTTATTTTCTTGATGTCAATTTAAATCAGTTAAAAAAGGTAATTATTTATTTTAGGAGTCAATAATCTTTGTTTTCCCAATTCGTTACTGTTATTTATATAAACATGTATATTATCACGTACATTTTATCATGGTATTTATTTTTGTTGTAATACAATAGAATTCGTTAGTTACTAAATATTTGCTTCAAGAAAAATACTAAATTATCTAAATTTTCTTATCAGATAAACGTTTCTAGATAATAATTATTCTAATGATATAGATTGTTATTGATGGTACTTCAATAAAGATTACTAATTAATAATTAATTTAAGTAAATATACAATGCGAGTATGGAAGAAAACTGTATTTGCAAACTAAATCTGTTTGTAAACACTCTCGACAATAAACAAGATTTGAGTTATCACATAGTCCATTAGTATACGCATGCGGCTTTCTTGGTCCTCAACCTACTTCGTTCCGTGCAGTCGTGTAGTAGTGAAAAGTGATTGATGAAAAGCATTTTGCTTTTATTCCAGTTTTGTCAAATTCTACGCACAAATTATTCAAGATGAGTGTTACATTGGAAGAGTGTGAGTTTGCTGTGCGTAATTATTACGAAACTGCAGATGTGGACGTCCTCAAATTCGTTGAAGAACCGTTCGGAGACAGCAAAGCTGGCCACCTGGGAGAGTACTACATCCTCACGGTCGACACGAAATGCGGAAAGAGTACAACGATGTTCGTCAAAAAGATGCTCTCCTCTCCGAAGCGGCCAGAATTCGTCAATTTGGTTACAAACAAAGAGCTTTCTTTCTACAAGCACGTTCAGGATTTAAAGGAAAAATTACCGGAGTTGGATTATTCGTTTTTACCTAAACTGTACCACATCACCAATAAAACATTGATCATGGAAGATTTATGTAGAAGAAATTACAAATCCACTAAACATCTGAGTAATGAGCAGGTGAACCTTAGCTTGAAATGTTTGAGTAAAATGCACGCATCGACAATTGCATACCAAAAGAAAATCGGAGGAGATTTTAAAGAAGAGCATTCTGAATTGTTGAAGGAAGGTAATTTCTCTAATAAACAGAATTTCGTTGGGAATTTGTACATTTCACAAATTACCAAAGCTGTGAAAAAGTTGATCCAACATTTAAACTTGAATTTCGAGGATCTGTTTGAAGCGGCTGTAGAAGATACACTTAACATTATCAATACTAGTAATAACTTCCTCAACGTCTGCTGCCACGGAGACTTGTGGTGCAACAATATTCTTTTCAATGAAACTAACAGTGATTGCAAATTAATTGATTTCCAATTGCTCCGATTTGCACCACCAGCTCACGACGTAACCACTTTAATATTTCACAATTGCCAGGAGGAAGTCATACAGAACCATTTACAGACGTTCTACAAAAATTATTATCTATACCTGAGCAACGAATTGAATGCCATCGATTTGGATGTAAAGGAGGTTTTGCAGTGGGAAGAATTCGAAGAGACGTGCAGGATTTACACGTCAGTCGCTAAAATGACAAGGCTAATCTATAAATCATTCGAGGCCGCTACAAAGAGGAGGATTTTGTTGGAATCGCAAAAGTCACTGGATGAAATCATGGACGAGCTTTTCATAGTTGAGATGATTCGAGTGGATTCCGAATTGCGTAACGATTTTATGTGCCAGTTGCTAGAAATTGAGAATATGCTGAGGAACCAGATAGTTTCTAAAGAAGATATTTACAGGATAGTTTCCGCAAAGTTTCCTGATGCCGACTACGAACTTGTTGATTATAAAGTTGCGCGATGTCTGAAGCGCATTAATTTCCGACAAGTTTATTTTGACTTAAATGTATATATAAACATTGATAAGAAATTGACCGATATTCAGTTAATACTGAAAACAATAACTGCAGATAACTGCGAACGCTTCAGACGAGAAGTGCGCTATCTCGACGAATATCCTTCTGATGTGTCACCGAATTATTTACTGATTTGCAACTCGCTGATTGTTTACGAAACACCATTATCGCAAGGTTACGATACTTTGAATAGAAGAAAACCGCTTAGTTTGGATGAAATTAAACTCGTTATACAAGCTATGGCCAAGATACACGCCAAAGGATTCGAAAAAAGTACGGAAAAGTCTACAAAAAGAAACATGAAGAGTATTTACAAGTCGTTGGATTTGAATCCGAAATCGCTGCAATTTGTAAAAGAAAAGATTATGAAAGCGGATGCTATGAAAGATCTGATTCCTTCAACTTATTGCCACAACGAATTAATCCACAGCAACATCCTGTTCAAATTGGAGGACGGAAAACCAATCGATTGCAAACTAATAAATGGAAATTATAAATTGAATACTCCTTCATACGATTTTATGAGTCTTCTGTATAACACAACGACATCTCCATTCAGGAAATATAATCTTACCGATTTACAGCATTATTATTACAAGGAATTAATGAAAATGCTTAATACTCCTACTAAGCTATTCTCACTTGAAGCATTTGTGGATCAATGCGAAGTTGATAGAATCTGGGCTATACTAGATACCTTGAATTACCACCAAGAAGCGCCCATCGAAGAAATATTATGCATCGATGAATACGATACCATCAATATGTTTTCTTGGAACAACGACAGAAAGAAAATTATCATGAAAATGTATGAAAGGGATCCTGTTTACAGGGCTAAACTAAATGAGATCACATCCGAAATTGTCGATTTCCTACATTAATCATCTTTAATTTATATTATTTTTTTTTATATATTTTACAGTTTCCTATTTTACGTTTTATAATTATATTTTATTTATAATACAAAGTTTAATATTCTTCAAAAGGAAATTTATATTTAAAAAAAAAATCCTAATCCAAATCCTAATTTTGACAAATATTTACTTAGTTGTGAAACTTTAATAAAGATGTACTTGTTTTTATTAATTATAATTGAATATTAGTTGATTGCAAAGGGCAGTCGATAACAGAAGATATTACGTGATATTTGATACTTTTCAACTACAACGCTATAAAAAGGGAATGCTTTCTCTAAACAAATATTATTTTTACGTAAGCAATGAATTGAATTCAATCGATCTGGATATAAATAACTTTTTTACTGAACGAAATTTTCGAAGGGATTTACAAGTCAATCTCTAAAATGACAAAGTTAATCTGCAAATCGATAGAAACAGCTCCGAAGAAATTATAATTTTGTTCAAATCACAGAAGTGGATTATGTTGTGAATAACAAGATTATCAACGAAATGATTGGTTTTCCTCACTCATTCGATTATTGAACTTTTCAATAAATAAAAACAAAAAATATTATTGCGAATGAAACATTTACTTGTAATATATTGTATTAATAATTAGTGACTTGAATCTTGAAGTTAATTAATTATTTTTTACTAATTAATAAGAAATTAGATATGTTTTCCAGATATATATTTCATTGCTCATATTACACCTTTCGCATTATTGAATAATTAAGTGTTCTATATTTACAAATAGTGCAAGGTAAACACCAATGTTTACAAACTATTAATCGAACATAATATTTACTCTTTATAAAGTAATGCACATTACATATTTAAGTATTCATGAATGTATGAATATTATTGTTAATGTAAATATTTGTTATTGTTCCGAATTTAATGGTTTGGAAGATATAAGTTTAATTTAGACTCATCTTCGATATATTTAAAAATATTTTTAATTAATGACGGAAATTTCTCACTAATGACAAAAAAAATCATTAAAAAAAAGTATTTATAAAAACTATTACGATATGAAAATGAATATGGAGTTTACGTTCTTTCCGTAATTGCATATTTTTTTCATTTTTTTTTAATGATAACACGTGGTAAGTATTTCACATATTCAAATTATTTTAAATAACAAGAATGCGATATTTCCTTTCAAAGGAAACAATAATAATGAAGTATTTGTGAGAAACACAAAAGGAAATTAATTAAAATCCACCCCTGACATTCGAATAATGCTTAATTAAACGTTAATGAGATTTAATACTGAACGCGAAACAAAAGAGACATTGACTTGAGATGTCTTTGTCGCAATAGCATTTTGTAAAATTCTTCGATTATTACTTTCGAATGCACAGAAACCGGGTCGGGTTATTGCTGCGAATTGATTTGCGCAATTTCAACACGATCGAATAATAAATAAAAAAAAATTAATAGGTCTACACGTCACAGTTTTAAATACCTCAAAGATATCTTAGGATTATAAATGAAATTTTTATACTGCGGATTTATGCTGAAACGAAACCTTGACTCTTTGCTATTGGATACAAAAAAAAAATAACCGCGTTTCCCACTTAAGTCGCGAGCTTTAAAACCCGCTTTGCTGCACGGATAATCATTCAGTTCGCCTCAATATGTTCGTCTGTACGAGTATCAACAACGAAGACTATGTAAATATCGTTAACAAAAAAATCAATACAGAGGATTTCAAGATTTTGAGTTACAATGTGGCTCCGATGGCGAAGAAGTCTGGAATTTTCGGGGAACATTACTTCCTGAAGATAGTGGTTAAATTGGAGAACGATAGTATCGAAGAACTCAGCTATTTCTTAAAAACGTTACCGCAGTTGGAATCGCAGAAGAATTTTACTTTGGAAATGGGCGCATTTTTTAAAGAAGAGCAAATGTTCAAATTATTTGTGCCGTTGTTTTTGAAGAATGAAATCGATAACTTCTCCAAATGTTCTCCTCGTTGTTACCTCTCTCAACCGGATACTATGTTGATATTCGAGGATCTGGCTATTAAAGGTTACAAGTGTTTAAATGCAAGACAATCGTACGATATAAATCTTGTAAAGTTGGCGATTCGTTCAATGGCTAATCTTCATGCGAGCTCGATCATACTAGAAGATATGAAATCGAGGAATTACGGAAAGAACTGGAGGTTGTACGATGAGTATCCAAAGCAGTTTCAAGAAATGTTGTATTGCCAGAAGCCTCCGAGTCTGGCTTTAATTGAGTCTTGCGTTAAAGGTACAACTACTCAAATCGATTACCTGATGGGCGATCATTTTCAGTCTAAACCGGAACTGCAGAGCTTCAAGGAGTTCTCAAGATCCTCTGTACGTGATTTAGTTAAATACGTTCGACCTTCCGAAGAATTTCGCAACACGATTTGTCATGGAGATCTGTGGGCAGCGAACATAATGTTTAAATTTGGTAAAGACGGTGATCCGGTCGATTGCCTCCTCGTCGATTTCCAGTCGTATCGATATTGTCCACCAGCACAAGATTTATTAACATTCATTTACTTGGCCACCGACCGCGAATTCCGTTCCAATCATATGCAAGAAGTGTTGCGCTATTATTATGAAGAATTCAGTCATTTGTTAGCCGTACGCGGTGTGAAAAATATCTTCGATTATGAGGAATTTATGGCCAGCTGTGAAGCGAATGAATTGTTCGCTATTATTCAGAGCGTAACTCATTTCCAAATAGTAATGATGTCTCCAGACACGATGACTGATTTCCTCGCCGACTCCGAATACAGCAGAAAATGTATGTTTGAGGATAGGAGCGACAACATTATTAGGGTTTGCGAGCTCGACAAATTCTATAAGGCAAAGCAAATTGAAAGTCTCACAGACCTGCACGAATTCTATCGGAAGTAATTTATATCTGTATATTCCTATTCAATAAATCCTACAGCTAAGTAGCACCATTATTTATATTTGATTGTTTTATTGCTCCCAATAAATTAATAATCTATTTCTCATATATGTTTCTCCTATTATTTATTACATACATAAAAACATGGGTTATTGATTGTGGTTTTCCGCATCTAATTTATTATTATGACACAATAAATCTATTTTTTTTTGATAAAATAATCTTTTAATGAATATAAGATCTGTTATTATATAACTTCTAATGAAAGTAATTAGTAAATGAAAATGTTTATATTTCAAGGCTGATTTGAATATGAGGATTGGGATACACTCTGGATCTGTTTTATGCGGTGTTCTTGGATTGAGGAAATGGCAATTTGATATTTGGTCTTACGATGTTCGCTTGGCGAACCACTTGGAATCTGGAGGTGTACCTGGGTAAAGAACGATCGAAATAACATAGTTTATTAGTGATTGACACATAATGATAATCCCTTTAGGCGTGTGCATATTTCGGAAGCTACTTTTCTATGTTTAAATGGGGCTTACGAAGTGGAGCAAGGGAACGGTCAAGACAGAGACAATTACCTTCGTGAGCACGATGTTAAAACATACTTGATTAAACAGGTTGAGCCCATGAGAACCAGAAGACGCTTAGCATCCAGGCCAAGGTACGTGCATGATTATGTGTACTTCAACTGCAATTAATGATTTATTTTAGTATTTTTTCAAATAAATTATGGCCGGACGACGAACAAATCAGTTGCTTAAGCTCACCAAAGACACCCGTAAGTGTTCCATCACCTCCATCAATAATAACACGCGAGAGGAGCGACAGTGGTATACAGCAATCGACAGTAGAAGAGGAAAATACCACAGATTGGACTCCGGAAATACCATTCGAGAATGTAATTAAGTGAAGAAATATCATTTTCCTACATAACGTAATGCTAATTTGTTTTCTTTAGCTTGCACATACTTTGTCTGGTGATTTGGACGAAGACATAGACTCTCTGAACTTTTCGTACAACAAGCAAAAGTATGAAATTTACAACGAGAATAAGAAAGGATCGAATTATCCTCTAAGTACAACAGAGCAAGTGGATGATATAATTGATCATAGCATTGAAATAGCGAGTAACAAGAGAATGCGTAGCGCTAATGTGAACCCTTGGTCGTTAAGATTCAAAGATAAAAATATGGAACGACAAGTAAATTAATGAAGCCACGAGCGAAATGTATTTTTGTTAATGTTAATTGTGTGTTTTAGTTCAGCCAATTGCGCGAGGATATGTTTAAATCAAACATGCTGTGCTGTTTTATAATTTGGATTTTTATTGTAGCTTGTCAATTAGCTATTACGCCTGAGTAAGTGGTAAACTAAATAGGCTATTTAATTATTTGTGTATGGTTTTTGTTTTAAATAGGTATACGCCGGTTGTAATTGCATGCCTCTCAGTGGCTACAATACTTTTAGTATCCACTTCGGTTTTAGTAATGGCAGAGGAATTCCAACAGTTCCCTACGTTCCTTCAAAGGATTTCATCGACTCTGGTACACAATAGGCGAAGTAGAACGGCATTCATTTGCGGGGTAATTGTTCTCATGTCTTGTGCAAGCTCCGCCAGTTTAATATTCGGATCGTCGTATTTCCAAAACGAGAACGACTCAAAATCAACATTACAGCTGCAAACCAATGGACCAATAATCATATCCGGCGTAAACTTTATTAAAAACAAACATGAATCGGTGGAAACACAGGAAATCGATATAAATGTTTCGCTGAAAGCCACCATCCACAAACAGAATCATAACATCACCATAGCGGAAGATTGCAACAAAACGAACTGTTCAAATAGTGTTGATGTTATAAAGCAGATCAACATAAGCGCGTTGAATAATATAATCACAGATTTATTGACGAACGTAACGAATAGCGATTTGGTGCAGAACTGTTCGAACGGCGAATGCCAGCTGATGCGAACTACAAGAGATTTAGAGGGTAAATTGAGCAAATTCATTACGGAGACTAACTTGAATCAAGTAAATATTGAAAGGGTGAATGCAAGTGTGAAGAGGAATCTGATGATACGTGGAAAAGATAAGGAAAAGGAAATGGTATATGTGTGCATGCACGCTGGATATATCGTCTTCACATGGGTGCTATGTCTTATTGCTTTGGCTACGGCCTTAAAACTTTATTATCTCATCAAAACTTTCCTGGCTGTTGTTATGGTGACTGTGTATGCCGTCTTGATTTTGGTCCCGTACAAAGAAGTTTTCAACTACAAGCTCGAATTGAATAACACAAAGTATGCTTGCTCCGTACATCTGTGAGAGCGGCCTGCATTTTACTGCTTTTTATTTGTTTACTTTCAGTCTAATACCGCTCTCTGTCCAAATGATAATCCTGCTGGCTGTATTCTTCTTAATGGTGGCTTATCACGCGAGACTAGTGGAAGTTACTTCTAGATTAGATTTCTTGTGGAAGCAGCAGGCGGAAAGGGAGCTTGCTGATATGCAGGAGACGCGCCACAATAACACACAGCTCCTGAAAAACATTCTGCCCGATCACGTCGCGCAGCATTTCCTCTCGAACGAACGCAATTGCGATGTAAGTTGTTTTAGACCGAACCTCTCATCCCCTCACGTAATTCCATTCTCCCCACATATTTATTATTATTAACTGAGAAATTTAAACTCGCAGGAACTGTATTCGCAGTATCGCAACGAAGTCGGCGTTATGTTTGCGAGCATTCCAAATTTCACGGACTTCTATTCGGAAGATATTAACAAAGGGGTGGAATGTATAAGGCTGTTAAACGAAATTATAGGTACGTAAATTAAATTCCTACTTTGACAAGTATCCAATTATTCTCTCGTTCAGCGGATTTCGATGAACTGTTGGATGACGAACGATTCAGTACAATTGAGAAAATAAAAACTGTAAGCGCTACGGCAACATACATGGCTGCATCTGGACTGAATCCAACTCACAAGGTATGTCTTAATCTTTCTCATTCACATTTTCCTCATACGTATTATTGCAGGACTGTATAAATACCGAAAGTCCTGAACACTTGTGCGCTCTTATCGATTTCGCATTGGCCATGAAGCAGAAGTTGGAGGAAGTGAATACGCACTCGTTCAACAATTTCAAGTTGCGCATCGGCGTGTCTTGCGGGCCTCTGGTCTGTGGTGTAATTGGAGCGAGGAAGCCAGTTTTCGATATCTGGGGTGATACTGTTAATGAAGCCTCCAGGATGGATTCCACCGGAGTTATTGGAAACATCCAAGTGCCCAAGTATACGGCTCAGGTAATCATCGCTATATAGATCATTGAAGTTTGAGTGACAATGGGCACATCATTAACAGCGAACTAAATTCCAAGGATAAGTTTTAAACAACTTGCAAACTAAATGCGAGTTAACTTACAGCTGACATGAAACAGCTTTCAAGCTCCTATGTAGTAAATATACCACCTAGACGGTGTTTGAGACAAACTTTCTATAACTATAAATATTTATTTGCTTTTATTCAATAAGATTTTTTATTTAAAATAATATTAAATTTGTTGATTTTAAATTGTTTAAAAACAAATATTTTGTAGATACTTGGTATGAGAGGGTATGAAGTGAATTATCGAGGATTCGTTGATGTTAAGGGTAAAGGACAAATGGAAACGTACTTCGTTGTAGGAAGAAAAACTGGAAGACCTCCGTGTTTCCAAAGACAGCCGAGTCAATACAGCAGTTTAGCAGCCGTTGTTTATGCAATGGCGCAAACCAGAAGAAAGCACACGGGAAATACACGTAACTATGCAATAATTCTAAAATGATGACAGGTTGCAAATATTTATGTTTTAGCTGGAAGTGCAGTACTGGGACGTGCAAGAACACAGCAAAGATCTGACAATCCAGGCCGTAAATTAACGAATTACAGCTCAATGAGGATCACGACGCGGAATCCAATAAACCCTGTCAGACGGAACACGACCCGTGCTCATAACAGAAATATGCATGCGAGATCGCAGCCGAACATGAGGCAATTGGGTTCTGCAGGACAATTGGACCAAGCTAAAATCCCGAAAGTCGTTGAAAAAGACACCACCATTTCCATACCAAGGATGACTGTCTCGCATTCCGCACCGCATACTCCAGTATCAGCGCCGAACCACGATCCTATTTCCAACACCGTTCCTCGTCTTTTATCCGAGCCGCTGGTCACGTTAAGGACAATGAACCTTTCGGTAAAATGCAAATCCGTGTCGCAATCCAACGACAAAAATACAGAGAACGGCACGGATCAATTGAAAACCCCTGCGAATCTATCGGTACCAAATCAATCTCCTAAGAATGCGAATAAGAAAGAAACGAAATTCTTTTTAAAATCACCGCTGGTCAAGAGAGATCATTCATTCAAACTGAATACAGCCAATGTTAAAGACGGCACAATAGTGTAAAGTTCCATTCGACAAATTTTATTGGATAATTTCAATCAATATTAAGAATGTCAAAGAAATGAATGAATTGGGCTGTGTTTTCTTCTTAAAATTAGTTATTCATCTAATATATATATATAAAGACTTTAGTGCATAGACATTTTGAGTTAAAGATGTAAGATAAATGTGTCGAATATGTATAGATATAAAATTAAGCCTAAACTTATAGCCAATGAATGTATGTACTTATTTAGTAAATTTTATTTATTTACTTTTTAGATTAATCTTAAATAATAAGTATGTCTCCCTTTATATACAAATATTAAAACAACGGGAAGAAAATAAAATATAAAATACATTTATTTAACAAATATAATTATCAAAATATGTTGTTTTATACAAAGAACATAATAAAATTCAATATAAAAGCATGTATACATCATAATAATATGAAGATTATTCTTGAAGGGTCTGCTCCAATTCTGCTTCAGTTATTTCTTGTGTTCGACTTGCTGGCACGACTGGTGCAGGCAATGCTATTGTAATCGGCGGTGGATCGTCCGGATTAATTTTAACCACCGGTTGCAATCTCCTAATGTTACTGACCACATTTAAACCTGAAAATTGTATAGTTTTTCTGTTAGCATAATGATAATCAAAAAAAAATAATGAACAACAATATTATTTAGATATAAACAAATGTTTACAAACATAGATTTTACAAGGCAATGATTTTCATGTCTTTTGCCAAATAAATAAATCAAAACAAGTGAATGCGTACCGTGTACTGTTCTTTTATGCTGCGTAAGTAAATATCCCATTAAGAAAGTTTCAGGGCAAAGTTCGCATTGGAAACGTTCACCTGTGTGTCGTCGTACGTGGGCTTTCAAGTCATTGCCCTGTGCAAAAGCAGCATCACAATAAGTGCACTGATATGGTTTTTCGCCAGTGTGGGTTCTCATATGAACCGTAAGATTATAAGCCCTAGAATTAAAACAAAATATTCATTTACATCTTGCAAATAAAATAAGAAAATTACCTTCCAAATCCGCGTCCACAAATAACACATAAATGGGTTTTCTCACCTGTATGGTATCTCTCATGCACTGTAAGATCTGTAGTTCTCGGAAAACCTATAAAAAAATAATATATACCGACATTAGTGAACAATTTTCTTAAATTATAACAATTGACAAACATTGATACCTTTTCCACAGTATTTGCATTTGAAAGGCTTTTCTCCCCTGTGCCTCCTCATATGTATAACCAAATAATCATTTCTTATAAACCTTTGTCCGCATTCCGAGCACAGGAATTTTTTTGAATTCTCATTATGGAATTTCATGTGCTCTGTTAAATGGGATTTGGATAAAAAGGTTTTGTCGCAAATTTTACATTGATAGATCTTCTTTCCATTATGAATTTTCATGTGTACATCCCTGTACTTTTCAGTGGTAAAACCTTTATCGCAAACGGAACATTTATATTTTTTCTCGTTCATCACACGTTCACCTCCATGCTTAGCAGCTCTATGTTTGGCAATTTGTTCTTCAGAAGCGAAAAACTTATTGCAATCATCGCATTCAATATCTTGACTATTTTCATGTATTTTCAAATGCTTTGCAAGATGATCTTTTCTCACAAATGTCTTCGGACACTTATCACATATATAAGGTTTCACGTCAGTGTGAGTCACTTCGTGTCGTCTCAGATGTGTTGATCGCGAGAAAGTCTTTTTGCACGTTTGACATTCAAATAGTTTTGCTCCTTCATGTTCAAGGGTGTGTTTCTCGTACTGTTTGAACGAAGTAAACGTTTCGTTGCATATCGGACATGTAAATTCACCATCATAGTCTTCAAATTCTTCATCTTTAACAACTGTCTTCGCTTTTTTTGTAGACCGTCTTCCTCTCCGACCAGCAGTTTTCTGTGAAGCATTCGAATTTTTCTTTGGCCTACCTCTACCCCTTTTCACTTGTTTTGTAGGTTCGTACTCTGAATCATCGCCATCGCTATTTTCCTGATTGTCTATAAAATCGATGAAAGGTTCCGATAAGATTTTAATTTCTTCTTCAGTTTGAGAATCTTCTTCATCTACAGTAGATAATTCAGGTTTGACTTCTTCATTCAATTCTGTTATAATATTGATCTTCGAGTCCATCTCAACAGAAGTATCAAAGGCATTGTATTCAACACTCTCAATATTATCAGTATTATCCGAATTATCAATATATTCAAAGTCAAAAGAGGTACTAGAATCTTCGTGACTAATTTCTATGTAATGGTCATCAATGTTATCTAAATTTTCCAGTGTTGGGTAGACTGGAGATGTATTTTCATGCATTTCCATGTGAACCTCTAAACTGTCTGCTCTATTGAAGGCTTTATTACAAATATCACAAATGTGAACTCTATCGCCTTTGCATTTCTCTATATGACTTGCTAAATTTTCTGGTCTATTGAATCGATGATTACATTTCTCACAACTGTGGGGCTTATCTTTCAAGTGTGTTGTCAAATGTCTCTTAAGATGTTCATATCTTGTTAACGTTTTGCTGCATATTTTACAAACATATGCTTTCCTTCTACCATGTGATAGTTCATGCCTTTTCAAGTAATTGATTTTGGTATACTCCTTATCACATACCTTGCATTTAAATAATGTTGTAGTATGTGTCTTTTTGTGACTTTTAAGTGTCTCAATGGATGAAAATGTTTTCAAACATGATCTGCATGTTAAAACTAATTGATTGGTATCCAAAATATCAATAAAATCTGAATTTTGACAATCCCATTTCATATTTAATTTAACTTCTTCTTCATCACTTTTATAATATAACATTTCTTGTAGGTCTGTGAGCAAATCAAAATCTTTACTTTTTATATTCTCTCGTAAAGAATTATCCGATTCCCTGCATTGTATTCGAAAGTTGTATGCAAATTGTAATTTATCCACACATCTTTGGCAAATGTATGAAGGTAATCCATCATCTTGGCTCACCTACAATGTTTAAAGAGTTAGAACAATGTTACAATTTATACCTGAACAAAACAAACAAATTGTAGTGGTGAATGTTTACATTCAAATTCTAGTTTCAAATAGAACCAACTGACTGTTTGTTTATTAGAGGATTTAGTTTGAAATTTAAATTTTACCTTTATTGAAGCACAAGCCATTAGCATCTCGTCAATGCGGGTATTTTCCTGGTCATTTTGTTGAACGTTGAACAAATCAAGCATATCATCTCCGGTACACTTACAAGCTCTGCAAATACGATTTAGATCTGCCGGTGTCTCATTCATGTTGCATTTGTAGGCAATAAATTCAATATTTCTTCAAAATCTTCAAGAAGCCAAGCCTACTCCACTGCTTTGACAGATACTTACAAATTGACACTTCAAGACTGAAGTTGGCGCTCTCATTAACCAACATATATTGCATACAAGAGTCTCTATTATCTTCATAATTACATTACATTTCAATCTTTACATTTGTATGATTATATAAATATTATTACTGTGAAATTAACAAGTATGATCTATAAATATGCATGTATATATTGTCTAGGCGATAGTTTAATAATTTCGATAACAGATGGCAGCATATGCTCTAAGTTTCCATATTTTTTAAATGAATTAACTGACTCCTGGTATATTATATAAGTTTTATTAAAAACAACTATATTTTATGTATTAACTAATTTTTTAAAGATATATTTAGTTTGTTTTATTAATAAGCTAGATGTTCTTACAATAATATATAAAAGTAGAAAATTAAGTAAAATTTAATAATAACATGTAATTGCACTAATAAATCTACTATTATTTGGCGTCCTCCATGACTAAGTCCTTCATCCACGAAAGAACATTGGTCAGCAGGCCAACACGTTGCTGCACTACATCATCATCACCTTCGTCATTATTTTTGCGTTCCGGAATCTTATCTGAAATTTCATTATCGTAATAACGGTTTACATCTTCATTAAAAGCGTTTATATGATTCTCCAAATTTTCCCTATGCATATTTCTAATAGGAAGAACTTCGTCAAATTGTTCATCGTAAACATTTAATTTCTGTTGAATGTCGGGGGATCTTTTAAAAATGTCTTTATCGTCCAAAGATGATGCTAGTTCTTTAGAAGTCGGAGCGGCCATTCCCAAATTAACATCATCATCATCGAGAGCATTTGGAACATCTTGATCTGTAGTTATTTTGGTGTCGAGAAAGTGCGGCTCGTTTTTGCAGTTTGTCTGATTACATTTACAAAGTTTATGCATATCAACACTTAAATGCAGCGTCCCATCGTCGTGTTTGTTCATATGCAAAGGCAATTTAATTCCATCCCCAACAAAATACATTTTATGTCCTTTCATTTGTTCAGAAACATCTCTGCTGTGTATATTTAAATCGTGCAATTCGGCTGGTACGATTTTTCCGAAATGTCCTAGATCGTGTCGAAAGTTTGGATTATTCTGCATGTGTTGGGCACCAACTATGTTATGACGACCTCCATGTCCGTGTCCATGGGCATGTCTTGATTGAAATTCATTTGGAAAGCCTTGTGGTGGTATGAAAGGAGGTGGAGGTTCCATGAATTGTTGATTTGGATTTAAATTAGGATTAAAATTCGGGTTAAAATTGGGATCATTCGGGGGATTATTGTTGAAGAATGGGTTATTGTTGAGTGGCATATTGGGGTTAAAGTTTGGATTTTCTATTGGAGGATTAGGATTATTTGGAATAGGAATGTTATGATCGACATACTGTGGTGGTGGAGGTAAAGTACTCGGGTGGTGTTTATGATGGGGCTTCAAGCCGGGTATAGGAGGCAACGTTAAATGTTCTAAATCCTGGATTAGTTTCGGTAATCCAGTTACTGGTTTATCTTTAGCACCACTTCTGCTCTCTTGTGGATGCAAAAGTTCTTCAAATTGACTTAATTCGTGCGACTTCTTTTTAGAATGTGGATGGAAAATCTCATCTAACGTTGGTAAATGTAGTTTATCCTGATTTTTTGACTCCCTATAACCATAACCATACCCAGGGGGTTGCAAGTATATGGTTTCTTCGTCGCTATCCTTTTCTAAACTACATCCGACTGTATCATTTCCTTTGTCTTCTGCTTCAACTGTAGGCGTTTGCTGTGCATCTCCAACAGTTATGTCCTTACCTTCAGGACGTATTATGTTTGCGACTTTTTGCGCTCCATCTAAAACCATATGTGGCACTGATTTCAATCCGCTCATTATCGTTTTCAGGTCAACGACATTAGGATCGACAAGTGGTGCTTTGTTAACTTCAGGCGTTTCAGGATTTGAACCCTTAGTCAAATTGACCATTTGCCAACGATTGACCTGTCTGTCTCCAACTACATTGTCTTCAATATTTTTATTTTCATCTTCCATCTCGTCATTAGATTTGAATCTAGACTGAAGTTCGTCTAAATTTTTTAAATTTACAATGGAATCAGTATTCGATTCAACCATATCTTCCATTTTAGTCAGTTCGTCAGCTAATCTTGGAGCCGTTATATTCTCTGATTTTATCAACGAAGCTATCCTTTTATTCAAATCAGCATCTTCACTTTCTGATAATCTCTTTCCTTCGGAAAGATCGTTTTTAATGATGCTTGTAAATTCGTCCAAAATCGCTTTATGTTTTTCTTCTGTGGAATCGTTTAAAGTATCTTCCGGTTTTTCTAAACCAACATTTTCCTCGACCCAATTTCTCAGCTTATGATATTGTTGTTCAAACCAATTTTCCCTTAATCTCGGTTCTTTCTGCTGCATTTG